CAACTGATACACCTATTAGGGTTATTAGAAATCCTAGAAGGTTCACAAATGTTGCTAATTCAGTAGCTTATGCTTTCTCGGTTGTCGAAGAAATTGAAAATTATCAAGAGTCGTCACCCTATACCGAAGCAATTTCTACTTCTGATTTTGACAATTGGATGACTGTAATGCAAGAATAAATGGAATCTCTAGAGAAGAATTAGACTTAGGAACTTTTCAAATTACCCAAGGAAAAGAATCCAATTAGGTGCAAAAGGGTATAGCTAAATATCCGGTATAGAATTTATTGATGTGTTTTCTCCTGTTGTCAAGCATAGTTCCATTCGTACTTTACTTAGCATTGTTGCAATGTATGATTTGGTTCTTCAAAAACATGATGTGAAGACCACTTTCTTACACGGTGACTTGGAAGAAAACATTTGCATGGAGCAACCCAAAGGGTTTTCGATTCCCGGGAAAGAAGATTTGGTGTGTCGGTTAAAGTAATTGCTTTATGGCTTAAAGAAATCACCCCGAAAATGGTACAAGAATTTTGATAACTTCATGATGTCTCAAAATTTTAAAAGTTCAGATTATGATTCATGTGCTACCTAAAATTCGGCGAAGATCATCATATCTACTTATTACTCTATGTTGATGATATGCTTATAGCCAGAAAAGACAAGTCCGCCATCACCAAACTAAAAAACCAACTTAGCTGGGAGCGAGATGAAAGATTTGGGTGATGCAAAGAAAATAATTGGCATGGAAATTTCAAGGGATCAATCCATAGGAAAGTTATACTTAAGCCAAAGAAGCTACATAAAAAAAGTTCTACACCGATTCAACATGTAAAATGCCAAACCGGTAAGTACACCGCTTGCCGGCCATTTTTGGCTTTCTTCTAGACTTTCTCCACAAACAAATGATGAAACTGATCAGACATCAAAGGTCCCTTATTCAAGTGTAGTTGGATCGTTAATTTAGGTTATGGTTTGTTCCCGTTCCGACTTATCACATGCTTTAAGTGTTGTAAGTCGTTTTATGGCTAATCCAGGAAAGCAACATCGGAAAGCCGTTCAATGGATCTTCCAATAACTTAAAGGTACTTCTTGATGGGTTTTATATATTACAATAACAATGTACTTGCGGAATTTCACTTAACATTTAAGGGCACGTGCAACCTAAAGGATCTATGTCTTAACACTTTGAATGTAACATGTTATGAAAAACAAAATAACTTGAACCCTAATGAATCCCTAGTATAATCAAATAGAATAATTAGGATTACATACCGTTGATTTGTTATAGTAAACAAATCACTTCAATCTCCTTCTTGAAAAACTTGGAAATCAAGCACCAGAAATCTCGTGCCTCTAATGGCTCACACCCAAAACCTAGAAACCCTAGAATGAAGAGGAGAGAGAGAAGAGAGGTATACTTTTCATTCCTAAGCCTTATGGGAAGAGCATGAACGAAATTGAGGCTATAAGGGTCCTATTTATAATTTAGGTAACTTAGGGACAACACAATATTTGAATAATTAAATAATAGATTTAATCACTATTCAAATGCTTTCCTTATCTGCATCCAGGAGGCTTCTGGAAACCCGAAAGAGGCTCCCAAAACCGTCTATCCCTTGGATGATTCTAGAATTGCTTCTTTTGTTCAACTATTGAACAATTACAATTCATCCCTTGCACCTTTAATTAATTCCAATTAATCCCAAATTAATTCCAGATTAATTCTGATTAAAAATTAATTAATTCTAATTGATTTCTTATTAATTTATTAATCATATAAATTAACAAATCAATTATATAACAATTGATCTCATGTTAATTTATTAATTACATGATAAATTAACATATCAATTATCTATTTCCAATTAATATATTAATCACATAACATATTACCATATTATTTATCTCTCTTTCTCCTAATATCATTTCTAGCTATTTCAGGTTATGAGGGCAACCCAAAAGGAACTTTGCTCATAATTCAAGATTATACTAATTTAGTTATTGTTAAATATTTAAGGGTGCATTCAAGATTAAAAACTAATTTAGTTATGTTGCTGAAGTGTGGTTTCATCTCAAGGTGGAGATTGTTGAATATGATCCGAATCAAAGCATGCATTGGCTTTTTCTGTTTGGTGATACATTTCGGAACCTGTCGCTAAAGAGTGTGGCAAACCGTCAAGCTTCCTTGTTCACCAAGGCTTCCGTTTTTCCTGACTCTCCAAGTAGAGTTAGATTATAACTCTTTTATTTATTCTTAGATATAGGATATTAGATCATATTTTTCTAGATATCCTTTTCATTCCCGTTTTACACCAACATAAAGCATTTGTAACCCTTTTCAATATTGTGATTAATATAGTGTTCATTCAAAGTGTTTTTTTCCCTGATTTCGGGTTTTTCCACTATAAATCCGGTGTTCTTTTGATTTGTTCTTACATTTTCATCTTTAGAAAAATAACGCATACATAAATGAAGTAAAAAAAATAAGCATGTCAGGCGTTGTTTGTTTTATTGCAATTCATAATAAATACCAAAACCCCTTCCATCCACTTGTAACAAATAGAAAATTAGAAGAAGATTACATTATACTCGTTATGTAGGGTTATGTTTTCCTTATTGCAATTCGTTTCATTTCCTTTTAATCCTTACATGGTTGTGAAGACTCATACATGGTTGAATCAAACAAAAGAAGTAGGAAAAAGAATAGATACAAACCTAACAATGGAATCAAGATGCCTCAATCTCCCACATAATGCATCGACAGATAGATGCAACCAACAAAAGGATAGATGCAACCAACAAAAAGGATCGTTCCAGGAATGGCGCCAATAGGTAGAGCAATATCACGATTGGGTTGTTCTGCTGGAGTCGATTGATTATCCAGACGTGGAGGTTTTAAATAAGGATTAGAACGACTGATTTTTTCAAGGCTGATTTTGTAAAATTGGGGTGAGCGTTTTCTTAAACGTTGGTTCTCCTAGCGTTTGATTTTGAAGCGTTTAGTTGAACCTAAAAGCTAAACGATCCGGTTGCTGAATGCTGCCAAACGAAGCTTCTTCTTTTCTAAGTGTTTTCTCAAAAGATAAACACTACAAGCTCTCAAACATTGCATGCCAACACAACCTTATTGGTAAATGGTTTTGTGAAAATAATTGTTTAATAAATATTTTAGCAAATTGAAATTAAATGGTACTATTTTTTCAACCAAATTTCATATTTTATGTTCTTGCATGGTATCTACTTCTCATTTGTTTTGTTTTGTTTTTTGTTTTTTTTGTTTTTTTTGTATTTTTGTTTGTTTTTTTTTTGTTTTGAACTTTTTGTAGTTCTTAAAATTTTGAATACTTATGATTTGTCCTAACTCTGACACCAAAATATATTTTTTTATCAGAAAAATTAGTTTTTATGGAGTAAGGTTAGTCCGAAATGCCCCTCGATCATTTCGGACGTGGTGATCATTTTGGTAAAACAGAAAAGTTTAGTTATTTCTACAAATTCCAAGATTCCAAATAGTCATATTTATGAATATCTCTATATAAAAAATGGAATGCTACGTGCAACCCATAAACTCCCATACAATTTCTAATACATTAGAGACAACTTATACCGACTAATATGATGGACTATAAGTTTTTTAGAAAGGGAACTTCCCTAACGAGGGTTTCCGGGCCAGCTTTCACGCACCGACTAATCCCCCGTTGCAAACATGAGGTTTGTCTCATGTCCTGGAGTCACTGCAGGCGAACCTCCATGGCCACAAGGGCTTAGTGGTGCCAGGATTTGAACATGGGTCAATAGGTTATCCACCATATCTTCCACATGCTTTACCAAGTCACCACAATATGTTCAAGATCTTCCAAAAATTTAACGACTACGTAGGTTTCACCGGTTGTTGTTGTTTGTTTTTGATCCACTAGAAGAATAAGACATATAATGCTATTAGGGTTTAAACACTTCAACAAGCAATTTAGACGATTTCACACAGAGTAATAACCGTAAACGAAAAAACAAGAACACAATATTTAACGTGCTTCACATGATCGGATTGATCGACTACGTCCATGGGCGAACATAAGAGAAAGATGTTATTGATATTGTCGTATGGCTTTAGTACATTAGGTTACACGAATTCAAGGGATATATATATATAGGTTTTGGTTTTATGGAAAACAAAAAACCCTAAAAATCATTAAAATGAATAAAAAAATACTTAGAGATCAAAATTTTTTTTTTTTACAAAAAAAAAAAAAAAGATTTTTTATTTTTTTTTTAGCGAAATTGTAAAAAATGCTGCGATTTTTTGATAAAAAAATTCAAAAAAAAGTTTTGTGATGTCTTGGTATTTTTTTTATGCATTTTTATATTTTTTAGGGTTTTTTTGTTTTCCAAATAACCCTTCCCTATATATATATATAGATATATATATATATATATATATATATATAGATATATATATATATATATATATATATATATATATATACTAGTAAGCTTACACGAATTCAAGGATATATATATATATATATATATATATATATATATATATTATATAGATATATATATATATATATATTAGTAAGTTGACGCTAATCCATAAACTACGATGAAAACCGGCTCATGATGCAATTTTAAGGCGAATATGACATGGGTCTGCCTAGTGGCTATATGGTCAAAAAGATGAATGAGACTCAACAACTTAACAAATGAAACTCTAATTCGAAAATAAGAAACTGAAAATATTAAACAAAAAGAATGCAAGAGTTTATTATTCATGCATTAATAAGATTTTTTTTATTGTATCATTATACAGATAAACTAGGGAAAAATACAAGAAATTAAGTGTAATAAAAACTACAAATTTTACTATGGTTTCAAGCATACGGAAGATAAACCAAACACATCATAATTTCTTGTGTAGACTATGGAAGATAAATCAAAAACTTTAGTATACTTTACAATGGTAATGAATTGCAAACTCACACACGAGACATTTAAAGATCAATTGGTACTGTAAATAAACACGACACCTTTTGCAATTTCCATCGGACGCAATACCTTGAGCAAATGAGAGAGGGTGTGGGTGAGCATCGGTGTTATAAATGCCTCCGAACTTTTATATTGACGAAATAATGAACGTTTTTTTCTATAAATTCTATAGGTATGTGTCTCGCTCTGAAGTATCAATGGAGCACAAGAAGCATGTACAGACTGAACACAATCTTGACAATGATAGAAAGATTGATGAGGATCCAAATCCTCCTCACAAATTTCACAAAAGTATTCGCTCTTATGGTTCTCAATCGGAAGGTAACTTAGATGCATGGGATGCTTGTCATACTTATGCCTGATTGTCTCGGGTGATAACAAAGCACATTCGGGATGTATATAGATATCACACGTGTTGCAGTGGAATGAAAGTTGGCCTCCAGTGGTATATTGGTGACACATAGGACAAGGACCACAACGAATTTTTATTTGAACTATTGAAAGAAGGTGATATGGGTGAGCTTTATGTGTGATTTGTGTAGGTATAAACCCACAAGTAACATCAACATAGTATTTACATTCGACACAACAATATGCAAATCCATTGCAAGGTAGACAGCAAGCAGCACAATAGAACACACCGAAAAAGAAAGGAAGGACCTGTGGATACATGAGAAGAAGGGTATGTTGTGGGTGACCTGGGTGATTTTCTATTTTTGGAGGGAGTCGGGTGCACCACTCATGGAGAGCAAAGTTGCAACCCTGAGCACACCTATAAAAGGGCATGGTTGCGGTGATTGGTCTAAGACATCCATTGCATAACAGTTGGGTCTTTTTCATTGGGTTATGACAAATTATTAATAACAAAGAGGAGGAGGTTTGCGCATTGGTCTGTGTCAGATCAACTAGAATCAGAGGGTGTTCATGACTGATATGTTGTATGTTTACCTCTTCATTATTGCTTATCAACATCCCAGATCCAGTTTGCTTGAAAAACAAGTGTTTTGGTATGCTGTAAGTTTCATCAGGGAATGGGAGATGAAGAAGACCAGGATAGTCAACATCTTTGTAATTTTGAATGGTTTTTCCGGCTCCTGAAAAATTGGGAATTAGCTAGTATACATCAAATAAATAACAATTTAATTAATAATTTAGGAAAGGAAAATGGTTTACCAGCAGGCGGCACTCTAGTTGCACAATCCACGTGGGTATAGTACATACATTTATCACATTTGTAACTCCAAAGATTATACGTATCATAAAAACCATGATTGCATACTCTACATCTAGGATGATGTTTAGCTGCTTGATCTTTCTTAGCGAAGAAATATGAAATGGTGAGTGGGTGAGTATGATAAAAAGCACCATCTGTGGTCTCTTGGATTAGCAAAGTTTCTGGTAGGAAAGCACAGTCACTGTGTATGGTGAAGCCATCACAAATGGTGCATTGATAGAACATCCCTTTATGTTCCTTCCCACAGGCACTACACTGGCATAAAATGGGCTTATAAGGGGTTAAACACCTTAGCCAGTGAGGGTGGGATGGATGATGGATGATATTTTTTCCTAGGTCAAGGGCACACTTTTCATGGCTCTGACAAATATGGAAAGTGCCACGACGATATGATATCAGGTGAAGAGTATCTGGGTGTAAATTATAGGATTGGTCCACGTACCTTGCTGAGCGTTCAGCACAGAATCTGTGAAGTGAGATATGACATGATGAACGTATGTAACATTTGTAGTAGTACCTGTGGTACATATGGATTTCTTTGCGACAGCTGTCACATGTGGCACCATGAAACCACTCTTTCGTAATCGGATCACCACCCTCTTCTTCTTCTTCTTCTTCTTCATTGTGGTGTGGATATTGTAGCTGCAAATCAATTAGCTCCAGTGGATGAGCATGTTGAGGTACTTCAAGTGCCTCCATTATAATTATGTATTTCTCTCTTTCAGATAATAATGTTAGATTTTCTATCTTATTTATAACAAAAAAAAGAGAGAATATGTGTGGCAGTTTCACCAAACAAAGTTTTTCTTTCTTGTTTACACTTGTTTATCTTTTACTTTTTTGTTATTCTTTTTTTCTTTTCCAAAGAAGAAATCAGTGAAACTTTTTCAAAACTGGTTTCTCATAGTAATTTAATTAGCTTCAAGTAATTTACCAACCAAAGTTTCCCCATTTGTCCCTTATAATATGAAGACATTCCATAATTAACGATGCATTCTATGAGTGTTTTAATTATCAGTCAAAAAAGAATATGCACTGTAATGTTAACAATGTTTTTCTCAAAGTTTTCATTATTCCAGATTTGGTTTTATGTTTTGTTCCTTTTTCATCTAATAGGTAAGGAATAAACACAGCGTTCTGTTCCTTTATTATTTAGCTTTACTTCAGTTCTTTAGTACCACCTCAGCACCTCTCTATAGTAAGTAAGGAATGAGTCCCAATTTTAAGTTGTATATTAATCTTGTCCCAATAAGTAAGGAATAAGTCCCAAAGTCAATCGGTTGAGTTGACTGTTGTAAGATCTCAGATGGGGTCGTTTTCCTCTGATCCGTAAACAAAATATATATGAAGTTGAATAAATCAAATTACAAATGATTTGCATAACTTACATACGTTTAAGAAAGTTGTAGCAAAATTTTAAGGTATCATAAGATATACAAGAGAAAAAAGTATAAAATAAGCGATAGTCAACCATACCCAACTGCCAATAAACTATATAAGCCTAACAAAATTTAATTTTCTTTTATACGTATCTATGATCATTATGTTGTAGACTTCTCATGTATAATCAATCACCTGGAACCAGATTAGATTTATTCAGACTGAACTCTTCGCGAATTGTCTTCTTCTATAATGGTTGTTGATGAGAAACCAAGAACAACAATGTGTATAGACTCCTATGCAAGTTTCTCCGCCTTAATTTCCTTCTGAAATATAATTGTAGGTATGTTTAAATGTTTATTAAATAAAATATGAATCTAAAATTTGGAGTATGAGTGGAATGTACCTAAAAGCATTTCTGGTTTTGGATTAAAAACACTACTAGAAAATAGAGTAATAGCGACAGAATTTTAGCGACGGAAAAAATCCGTCGGAAAAAGCAACGAATTTTCCGACGGATTTCCGACAGACAAATTATTAGGATATTAGCGACGTTTTTGCAACGGTGTGGCAACAGAATAAAATTTGTCGGTAATCTGTTACACTATACCGACGGAAATCAACAAATTTGAAATTCCGTCGGAAATCCGTTACTGAATTCCAATTTTTTTTTTTTTTAAATAGTTAGGGCAATTTGGTAAATAAGTGAATGTTAAAGTCAGAACAAAAAGAAAACACGTCAATTTTGCCCTACTCTCATTTTCCCTCTTCTCCTCTTCTCGTTCTTTCTAGTTCACACGATATCTCCCACTGCAACCAGCCGGCTCTGCCTCCGATCTGCAACCATCTCCGATCTGCAACCAGCCGGCCACTTCCTCCGGCAACGATGTCGCCTCCGCCATCACCGCCGGCAGCAAAGACCTCCAGCTCCTCCGAAGTCATCGACGCAACATACCTTCTCCCTCCGACTGCTGTCGCCACTCTCTTGTCGCCACCACCATCGTCGAAGTTGCTGATGTAGCTGGTAGACCTTATCAATTGATCCGATTTCAGCTTTTTTTCTCCAAGTTTTGGTAAAAAAAACCCTAACTTATTTTTTCTATTACATCGATTGAGTTCTAGGTTTATTTATTTATTTATTTTTTTCTAAATTGGATTATCAGATCCCAAATTAGGCATTATATAACCTATCCAATCAGATTTTGTTGATAAATAGTCTTATACATTTATTTCTTCAGTGGTCCTGTTCTGAACTTCATGAAATGAATCTGATTTTACGTTTCAGAGTTGGAGTGGATGATGTTTGGTTCTTTGTGTCAGCAGAAGGGTTCCTCTTGAACACCATTTTATCAGGTAACTCAAGAATATTGTCCCTGTTCCACCTTAATCTTAGCTAGCCTTTTAATCAATCGGGCTCTCTCAATCCTCTGATACAGTTGATACACCTTCCCACATTGATGCAAACATTATGGATATTTCCTTCATACCCTGTTTCAAACATTAGGGATAAAAAGCTAATTACATAATTATAAATTAATAAACATATAATTATAGATGCAGAAAGATGTTGGAAGGAAAGAAAAAAACTCACAGAAATCAACTCTTTCCGAGCATCCTGTAATTCATCATTGCTTAATCTTTCTTTTATTACCAATTCTTGATTAAGCTCTTCTTTTATTTTGTATAACAGACATCAAATATTTGAAGATGGGCATTTGACACTTAAAGTGAGGCATGGGCATTTTTTTTGCAACTCAGAGCAATTATATTCAGTGCTTAATGGGTATGTTTTGTTGTTATTCTTTTTAAATTTGAATATTCTCATTGACAAACCGAGTGATTCTAAACATCTGGGTATATCTTGTTGTGTGTTCTTATAGTGGAGATACTGAAAATTGCTATACTCCAAGTGTATTGAGAAATAGCAAAATACTTTCAGCTCTTACTCCAGGTATATTCTGTGTTCTAAATTCTTGTTGTGTGTGTTAGTTTACATTGATTAGCATTTCAAACCAAAAGAACTTCAATGAGAAAATGGCCGAAATGCAATAAATACCAAAATACTACAAATTGTTGTATACTTCCAGCTAAAGACTTTTAACTTATAAGGTATTCAACATCTTTCTATTACTAAACTTCCAAATCAACACAGTTTTCACTTTCATATATTTGTACATCTTTGTAGTACCACATCCTTTTTATCTGAGATATTATGGTCATAAGAAAGCCCAGAACATAAATTCAACTACTATAAGATAACAAATGCAGTATCCATTTAGTAAAAAAAAAAGAACCATGAAAAAATCAAGTAAAAACAATTTACCTAATAACGATCATTGATTTCCCTTTGTTGATTTGCTCTTATTGGCCTGAAAGAGTGAAAATTTATTTTAAAAAATAAAAAAACTTGGAACTTAATGGGAAAAGCCTGATCTCCGTATCTATTAAGTCTTCCTTTTTGTATTAAGTCAAAAGAAACAACCATTTAGTCAATGAAATCAATCAAGCATTTTCATCATCATTTTCAATTGTAGCAGTTGTCCCTTCATATAACAGTAGCAGCAATAGTAGGATTAGATGTGGTATATATTCTAGTCTTTTAGGCCCACAAAATGAAGAATGTGTAATATAAATGAATATGTGAATATGGGTACCGTTTATTTGATTTAAGGAGAATTGAGATTGTGGGTCCCATAAACTTAATGTACTGAGAATTGAGTTTATTGGGAGATAAAATGGTAAATGGTATGAAAGAATAACAGGAAACAACAACGTATTTTACCTCTTTTACTGATATAATTAAAAAAAATTAGCATTTATTTAAATCTAAGAAACTTCCACATCATGGGATGAACATCAGAAGTATACCGCTTCCACAATGACCCCAATGCTGGTAACTGTCAAATCCAATAGAAAGTTTAATTTTAGGGATTTTACTCTAATTTATATGACGTCTTACGTTTTTGTCCCTCTTGGTGTTTATATGACTCTCTACTGCATCAGGATTCTTAATGACTTTGGTGTGTTTTTGTCCCTCTTGCTATTGCTATGTTGCATATGGTGAAGGGTAGTTTGGTAAATTTAAATTATTTCAAGGGAAGTGATACAATTTTAGTAACTAAATTTGGGTTTAATGTTTTTTTTTTCATTTGTTTTTGTCTGATGTTTGTCGCAGGAGGAATTAATTATCCATGAAAAGGGTCTTTTACTTCAACTTCCATTGAGATAAATACCCCTGGAGAAGGTATGTCGATATCTTATGTAGAGTGTTGTGGATTATTTTATCTTAACTTATTCATAATTTTATTTTTCTATGCAATGATATGGATGTTTTCGTGCATGTGAGTATATGGAACATGATAAATAAAATATTTTCCCATCTTTATACTTCTAATCTTTCTTCGTGTATCAATCTATTGTATTGTAAAAAATAAAATGACAAAATTGTCCCTAATATGAATTAATGTTACTTTTTTATTTAAATTACATTTACCCTTTTATTTTGATTGCATACATAAATTTTTTGATTTTTCTTTCACTTTAATGATGTTTTTCTATTTGCTTTTTTAGAGTAAATAAGCCAAACTGTTTGCATAAGCCAAAATGACCATTTTGCCCTTTCTTAATTTGCAAAACATCATTTCATGAAAACAGCATGGACGGATCAGCTATCTCAGAGTCATTTTCTGGTCACAATCTTCAAGTTTTTCATGACTCAGAAGATAAAGATTTTCTTGAGATTGCATCAAGGATAAATGGAAATAAAACATTTAATAATAAACAGGTTAAATATCTTTACTTACTTCTTTCTCTTTCTCTTTTTGTCATGTATACACTGAAATATATTGTATTATATATAACAATTATCACATTTTGGAATATTTTATAAAATGAAAGTGCATTCCTATTACTTGACAGAAATATGCTTGATTGCATTCACCAAAGTAAACCCATGTGTAATTTTCAGTGATTTTTCTTGTATCAAGTATCATATAAAAAATAGGGTCTTCACAGAATTTGCTGATCAATTTTTAAAAATTTTTATTTTCACAGAAATCTACATTTTTCATCTAACATCTAATACCATGGGCCCATGTTGTCATAATTGCTACTTGTTAATATCATTCATTTTTACTTTTTTATTCCCCTTTATTGTCAACATTGGAGGACATTTATGGTATTTGACAACATATAAATATTTCTCTAGCTAACAACTCTCAATGATAGGTGTGGAATCACGAGCTAATCAAGAAGGAATTCTCTATTGGTTGTAGACAATATTTGATAATATGGATTGAAATTTATAGATTTAATGTATGTCAAATGATTGAAATTTATGGATTTATTTTTATATTTGTTGGTTTTAAAATATAGATTTGATGTATGTTTAAAAAATTTATGTGTTGAATATGTAATTATTTTTAGTTTTTAATTTCTTCATTAATTTGTAAATTTTTTTATAATGCCAAAATCCGTCGCTAATCTGTCACAAAAACAATTGTAGTCATTTTGAGATTCTGTCAGTAATCTGTTAGTAAGTTATTCCAAATTCCGTCGGTAATCTGTTAGTAAGTTATTTCAGATTCCGTTGGTAATCTGTTACTAAAATTTTCCGTCGGTAATCTGTTGCAAACAAATTCCGTCGGTAATCTGTTGCAAAATATATTCCGTTGGTGATCTGTTACTATTTCTGACGGAAAAATCCGTCACTAAAAATTAACCATAGCTGTCGGAAATCCGTTACAAACAATTAGCGACAAGAATATACCGACGGATTTTGGTGTGTTACAATTCCGTCGGTAAAGAGCATTAGCGACGGATTACCGACGGTTTTTGCTGTCGGTAATGCTCTTTTTTGTAGTAGTGAAAGCACTCACACCCAAGGGCGGAACCAATTTTTTTTTAGGGTGTTCCTTATAAAATAATTGATATATATATATATATATATATATATAATATATATATATATATATATATATATATATCAAATGAGAACACCTAAAAGGTTGAGAACGCGATAACAGATATATTCAGTTGTGATTCCATGTATTTATTTGTGGAGAAATGATAAATTTTTACGCACAATCAACATGAATATGCTTTTTCTTTTCAATTGAAATTAAAGGCGTAAAAATTTATCATTTCTCCACAAATGAATACATGGAATCGAAAAAATATACTTTGTTCTCGCGTTCTCAACCTTTTTGGTGTTCTCATTTGATCCTACTCCTATCTATATATATATATATAATATATATATATATATATATATATATATATATATATATATATATATATATATATTATATATATATAATTGACAAACCATCTGGGGTATTCACAGTTGAAATTTTTATCAAAGAAAATGAACCATGAATGAGAATAGTTTCGAAGAAAAAATGCTTTAGTCCAAGCTTCTTGGTAATCATATATGAATATCTTGGATAAGCAGGGAATTGATAAAGGGGTTTTTCGAAGGAAAGATTGGATGACCAATTTTCTGGAGAAATGATTTTAAGAATTCGGGTTTTGCTAAAATCAATAGATCCTTCCTTATTATTAGAACGGTGATCAATCTGAACAGATCCAGATTCTTGTAGAATGGTTTGATAATATTCTCGAGATTTGTAAGAGTTTTCATGAAAGGTTTTCCTCGACCAAAGAGATGTTCAGTAAGAACATGAAAACCTTGATTAAGCTTAAGAATTTGAGAATCTTCAAGTATTGGATTTTCAAGAGATTTGGATTGAGAACATAAGGGGCTTTATTTGTAGGTTTAGGATTTGTTGAAATTTGTGTCTCAGAAGGAATAGGTTTTGAAAAGGGCTAATTGATTGAACTGGAGAAATGTTTGGAGTAGCTAGTTTTGATTGTAGCATGTTTGAATAAAGTTGAGAATTTTTTGCAATTGGAGTTAATGGGGAAAAACGATTTGACTTGAGAAAGGAACAAGCTTTTGATTAACTGGTTTCTTGTCTTCAATCTTGGAGGAAGACGATGAACTCATTTTCCCTGCAAAAATTCACGAGAAAGAAAATCTGGTAATGAATTGCTTTTCCCTTTTATAAATTCAATATCGAAATCAAAATTGCCCAACAATGCTTGCCATCTAGCAAAAATTTGTTTAGAAATAATATTTTTTAACATCTTTTTCTAAAATGATTTTGCAGATTGACAATCAATTCTTAATAAAAACTTTTTCATAAATAAATCATCTTCAAATTTAGTAATACATAAAACAATACTTAAAATCTCCTTTTTAACAGTTGAATAATTCTTTGAGTATTATTCCAAGCACCTGAATAAAAACGAACCAATTGTTCTTCAGAGGAATTTGATAATTTTTGTTTTAAAATACCTCCAAATCCAATATCACTAGCATCAGTTTCGACTATGATATTAGCATGAGGATGTGGTAAATTTAAACAAGGTAAAGAAGGAATTTTTTGTTTTATAAGTTTAACAATATTAGTATGTTCTTGAGTCCAAGGTTCTGGATTGTTTTTTAATCTATTATAAAGAGGTTTGCAAAGAGTTCCTAAATCTTTGAAAAAATCATGAATATAATTTAAACATCCTAGAAACCGTTGAAGTTGTTTTTTATCTATAATTTCATCAGAAATTTATTAGAAAATTCTAAACTTCTTATAATAGGTTTAATAGTATTATTAACAATGTTATGTCCTAAAAATCTAATTTCATTTTGAAATAAATGCATTTTCTTAGCTGAAACAGCTAAGCCATTTTTATAAATTAAATCATAAAACTGATTTAAATGTTTGAAATGTTGATCAATAGATTTTGAAAAAATAAGAACATCATCAATATAAACAATTGAAAAACTATTTATAGGAATGATAATATCATTCATAACGTTTTGAAATTCAGAAGGAGCATTCTTTAAACCAAAGGGCATAACGTTCCACTCATAATGACCAAAAGGAACATTAAAACCTGTTTTGTATTTATCTTCTTCATGAATTTGAATTTGCCAAAAACCAGATTTCATATCGAATTTTGAAAATATTTTTGAATCATAAAGTTTTTTCAATAAATCTCTTTTATTAGGAATAGGATATCTAATCCAATCTAAAACTTTATTTAAAGGTTTATAATTGATAACTAATCTTGGTGATCCTCTTTCTAATTCAGCAGCATTCATAACATAGAAAGCTGAACAAGACCAAGGAGATTTAGAAGGTCTAATTAATTTTTTGTCCAATAAATCTTGAATTTCTTTTTTACAATGAGCTTCTAATTCATTATTCATATGAATAGCTCTTGATTTTGAAGGAATATCTTTTTCATTAAAGTTTTAATATAAGGTAATTTGACAATATGTTGTTTTCTGTTCCAAAAGGCGTTTGGAATATTTGAGCAAACATTATTTTCAAACTTTTGTTTTAAAGCTATAATTTTGTCTTGAATATACTTATCTTGTAATTGATTATGTATACGAAAATCATTAATTTCATTGATAAGGTAATTTGCTTGTTTTGTTTTATAATTAAGAATATTAATAGTTGAATAAGACGGAGGTTCACAAAATTTAAACATAATTTCTTTTCCAAAAACTTTAGTAATAATTCCATCATCTTGAACCATAAAAGGATATAATTTAGTAATAAAAGGTGTTCCTAAAATTAAAGGAGAAGTAAGATTTTTTACTAAAATTAAATGAGTTTTATAACAATAATCTTGATTGTTACAAATATGAACATCGGAAACTTTATAATTTATTTTTAAACTGGTTCCTTCAGCTCCAGTAAGCCTAGAAGAAGTTTTTTCATAAAATTGAGTGGGAAATATACCTTCTTGTATACAGTTCATATCAGCACCACTATCAATTAGAGCAGTAATATCCATTTTAAAATTATCCTTTACTAAAGTTATTTGAGTATTCCATTTTTGAGAAATTTGATCATTTATAATTCTTTCGATAACCTTTTCATCTTTATTATCATTATTTTGTGAATTAATAATATTTTTTCCCTTTTCAAGAGTTATAATTTTGCCTTTAATTTCTTTTATGTCTTGTTTAACTGATTTTAATTCTTCTTGAAGTTCTTGCATGGAAATGGGTTTTGTTTCAGAAAATCGTTCATATATGTCCTTTAAATTAAAAATTTTTGTATTATCTGAAACAGAATTTTCATTCTTATTAAGCATTTGTTTTATTAACAGTTCTTGGATATTTTTATCTTTAATGGAATCTAAATTTTTTAAAAGATCTTTGTCATCGTTTGTAAGGACATTAATTGAATAATTACAATTACATTTTCCAACACATTCGCATGTATCAGAATCTTCCGAACTTGAACTATTTTGCTCTAAAATGTTTAAATCATTTTCTTGAAAATCGGAAAAACTAGAATCAGAATTTAACATAATTTTTCTAATTTGTTCTTTTAATTCTTCCGAAATATTTAATTCATTAATTTTTGTTTTTGCATAACAATTATTAGCATTATGACCATTACGACCACATTTATGGCAAATAATAATGTCTTTTGATTTTCTTTTAGATTTTTTATTAGATTGTTTATAAGGGTTTTTTTGATGTTGAAAATTTATTTTTCTTATAATTCTTATAATTTTCTGTTTTATTATATTTCTTTTTCTTGAAATATTTTGAAGACTTTTTATTATATTTTTTGGTTTTTGAAGTAGACGGACCTGTTAATGGTTGATAACCATATTGTTGACAAAAATTTCCTAATTCATTTTACTATTAATTCTATCCTTTTTAAGTTTTTCTTTAAATCTAAGGTCAGCACAAATAGCTAATCCTTCTTTATTAATATAATTAATTAAATCTCCATAAGTTAGGTTTTGATAAGGAATTGTATTATTAAAATTTTCTCTTAATTTTTGTCTAATTCTTTCGGCAAAAAGTTTTGGAAGTCCAGCAATAAACGTTCTTTCCAATAAGATTCTTTACAATCAGGTCTTGAAAAAACTTTAACGAGATAATTATCTTTGTACCATCTGAAATCAGTTAATTTTCTACAATGTAAGTTCATTAGAATTTCAGAAGTTCTTTCTTGAAAAGTAGTAGGATCTCCTACAAAGTTTTTGATTATAGCAAAAATTAAAGTATTAACCATATCATCTTCTTGAGTTTGAATAGGTAAATTATTTTCTTGTTTTATAACGGTTTTCTTGGCAGTCATTATAAAATTCTTTTCTTCTGGTGTAATATAGAAATCCCACCAACCTTTAAGAGTACCAGTAAACCCAGAAATAATAATATTAACAATTTGAAGTTGAGTATTATTGTGAGACTTGTAAGCATTAGCTGCCATGGTCATTTCTTGAACAATATTAAGAATTTGATG